TTTATACGAAATATATATTATTATTAACTAAATGCGAAACACTGAGTAATGATCTCCAGAATGTCAACAAATGATAATTGCAGTTCTTAATCTTGTTCTTTGCTAAATGACAAATAGATAGCTTCCAGTAATCTCTTCTTCCACCCGGGATTCGTCTACTACTTTGCAAGTGTTTTTTGTGCTATATCACTTTTGTGCTAGGCTTTCAGTCATTCAGCATATACCGTTGTTGACTAAGGATCTAGATAACATTAGTTGAGTAAGGTTTCGGTCGTGCAAACACGAGTCGCGTGAAGGTGACTGGTTGCACTATCATTTCTCAAATGGAATGCAGCATACTGTACATTAAGGTAAATCTTCCGCCTTGCTTGCTGAAGGTGGTGTTCCTCAGGGTACTGTTATCCCTCCTTTTCTTTTTTCTCTCGTCTTACATGACTCTTCTCTTTCTAATGAGAGCAACTTCGTCAAATACGCTGGTGATCTGACCGTCTCACTCCCTGTCTTGTCACAATGTGTCACCAGGAGGACTTTATTTTTCAGTTTATTCGTATATATACTATTGCGCATGGAGTTGCACTGCGATTCCACATGTAGAAAAAGATTATGAATACCTCGCTCTTCTCTTCTGCATAAGAAAGTTACTTCACAAGAACCGCTATATTAAGCTCAGTAAGGACAAATATGAATTTCTCCACTTCAGTGTTGTGGGTTAATTTGTGAATTGTATAGGCCCCTAAATTAATGCATTTGGCGTGCATGCTGCACAGTGCGTGTTGTACTACATCTTCTGCGCTTTCTGTTTGGATTCCATGAAGTGACCATTTAACAACTGCTGAGTGTTGCATGTGATCCAGCTAAAATTATAACTGATAATTCCAAGAATTTCTGTCATTTTCATTGGCAGTGGTTGACAGCCTATTGAGTTTACACAAGTACAATACCCATTGCTCACTTTACTGAGGAGACATTAACTATGATTCGAGAAAAGTTTTACGTCAGAGTGTGAATTTCACGAATCTGTAGATTGCATTCCACTCACTTAATACTGAAACTAAACTATGAGGGAACTGATATTTCCAAGAAGGATGTAATACAAGGCTCATTTCTACAACTGTCGTCCTTATTTTTGTTCACTTTCATCATACATGTATTAACAGATTCGTGTGTCACTCGCTTCAGGGACTTACCAGAGAACAGTACTGTCAACTTAGTGTATGCTAATGACATTGTCCACTTAGGCTGTGAGAAGTGGCCATTGAAACTAGAAGATATGAAAAGACTACTGGTTTTTGATCATATTGTCTGTTGCTTTCTTCTGCGTTAAGTAGTCTAATATGGTGAGTAATTTTGGGGTTAAGCCTAGTGTTAAGTAGAAACGTGAGTCCAAACGTTGTTAATAGCACAGATGCATTCACTCTGTGTAATCTTACATATCTGAGCAACCCTTGTGTTCTTTCCATACCACTGTTCATTTTCCATGACATTTATGCTCATTAGAGTTCCATTTGATTTCTTTTTTCTCTACCTTTGTGTGCTACATGGAATGTGATAACGTAAACAGGTGCACTTGTTCGCGAGCTTCTATGTTGAAAGTCAGTCTGTCAGAATGATCTATAGTCCAGGTATAATGAATGCTAAAACGTGGATAAAAATAAGCAAAATGTCAACAAATGATAATTTACGTATACATTTTAACGTGTCTTCTAATTATCTTATTTTTGTCTTTGTAGATATTGCCTAAGATGCCGTTGTATGCATCGTCTGGAAGCAGCCTTTAATTTCATCTACCTTCCACGAAGTTTGTCGCACGAAACGTCGAAATTTTACTGACTGGAGAACGCCAAAATTGGTGTTTATGTTACTGATTCAGTGATACCCAAGACTAGACACGTTATAGCAACGTATGCCTGTAATAACATTACCTACATAGTAAATAAATGCTAATTACAAAAACTCGTCATTAGCTTTTCATTGAGTACTTACAAGAAAAAAGTTTACCTTACTTCTCATACTAAGTACTGAAGATTCCGCCCAGTACTCACTTCTACTTGCTCTCTATAAAATGCTTTCTGCTATATTCGCAAATGACTATTAAACTTTTGTCACATGAAACGGTAAAACATAAGGCGTATACAGTTTAGAAGTTAGGGTATATTTGCATTTATTGACACAAAATGTATGTACATCTTCCATTATTAGACAAGAAAATTCTCAAAGTAATTCAGAGTTGCTCGCAGTGCACCAATAGTGTATTCATTACTGTAATTATCCTGCATAACTGCGAAGCTTCTGTTCAGTTGCCTGCGAAGTTGCAGCATCTCCCTGCAGGGTTTCTTTACTGAACTTTCACAAGGCACACTACTTAGTAGCAGCGGTTCCTGCCGAAACCATCTGCGACACAGGCGAATTACCCTGTCAACTAAAAGTATTAATTTAAATATTAGTAAGAGTTTGATTTACCTGTAAACTGAGGAATTTGAGTGTGACACGGCAGCATATGCCGTCAGGGTATTCTTTGTGCCCTAAAAATTCTGGCCGAATCCATTACGAAAGTTTCTGTAATGGACGTATCCAGCATTATTCTTTGGAATTGTTCCAAGATCCAAGCTACATCACATGACCTTTCTCGTCTCGTCCATGCCAAAAAAACAGGCCTGCCATGACCCATATTGTCTGTTACCACCAACTGAAACAGAGAATATCTGATTAAGATTTGTCAACCGTTTCACGTATAACCTACCCGTCATTATTGGTATTGTATGTTGAGTCAATACACACCACCTTTCCATATTTCCGATACAACTGCACCTGTGATTCCAGGGCGAAGCAAATTCTGCTGGTTATCCCTGTATTCGAATCTACGTATTCAACCACCTGACCGCTTTGCCTTATTATGCGCATAGCATCTGATCTCAAAGGCATGACTACCAAAATAACTTTAAACTACATCACTTACCTGGTCTCACATCCTTACGTAACTTATACACATCTGCGCTCGTCAAAATTTTATTAAAGTTCTCTTCAGCATATTCCAAAACATCACCAACCTCAGATGTAGTCTTCACAACTGGTACAATATTCTCCTTTTCATCACCGGACAGGCGTCTAAAATATGGATCACCTATCATAAGACTTTGTTCACATCTGTGATTGTGAACCGTATTTGTGGTACAAATGATAAACTCGTCCTCCTTGTAGCGTATACGAAAGCCAGATTGGCAACCGGTGTATTTTGCACTGCAGAAATAAACAATAGAATTCTTACAGTTTGACGTGTAAACCTGAACCTCTAGTTTTTCGCTTCATGCCATATGTACAACGAAAGGCTACTAATTTGTACTTCAACTCCCGAGATTCGTGGTTTCGTATGCAATTCTCGATTACATAATGTGCATAAGTTGCCTAGGAATACTCTGTCATACATATATATCTCGTACTGATTCTAGCTGACCTAGAGCATCTTCTACTTGAACCCAACTGGTATACCGGTGACTAAACATAATTCCCTCAAAAGATTTTTGATATCGACTGATATAGGAAGGGCAGGTTGGTCGCCACTGTCTCCAGGTACCAATGCGTTCATTCGGTACCACCGTAAATGAAAACAGAAGCTTTTGAATTAAAAATTCACGAATAGCCAACAGAGTACAGTAAGCAACTTGAAAATGACATTGACTTGGAAACTGTAGCGGAAAAAACATAAATTCCTTACCACGTTTTGGACAGTTCCTGTTTACAGCCACAAACATTTACTGAAACACTCGTGAACGACAAATATAGACACAAGTGGTAAAACAAAGCCCTCCAGAAATCATTGATACGCCAAAAACAGGAGTCAACACCAAGGATTTTAGGTGCACCTATAATTTTTAGATGAAACACATTCTCAAGCATCCCCCTGCACGATAACTGCCTTCAGGCTTAAAGACAGCTTTTGACGACTATTCTTAACAAAATCAACACAGTTCAAGCCAAATAAAAACCAGAATCACGTCAAAAACGCAGCCACCTAGATCAAACGAAACAAAACTGAAATCAACTAGACAGCGCAAATGTCCTCAAGGTAAAGGTGGAGGCGCCACTTCAGACAGGGGACATGCCATATGAACGCCCCTTGCGACTTGCAGGGTAAATATGAATGTAGTTAACCAAGCAGGGTTCCATTAGTAAATGGTACAAATACAATTATTCGGTGTTGGGCTGGCACAGTATTTATCTGTCTTTAACTTTTTGTAACAGGATTTGTTTCTTGCACCCCGTATAGACTACTGCAGACTCTTTGACAACTTCGCGTGTATAAGTATTGCGGGCGTGTATGATGCAGAACCCGGTTTCATTGCATATATGTAACAAATGCATTATAAAATCCTCAAAATGTCAAGTGTCAGATTTGGACAGAGTGATCCATGTTCAGCAATAAATTTACTGATCAAGGATAAATAGGTTCAAATAACCAATTTAAAGAGAATGGAACACGTAAAAGATATGCAGCAAATAACGTTTAAGTTAAAAGAATTTCCCCAGACCGAAACAGAATGTTTGCACATTTAACGAAAACACTAGAGTAAAAAAGTTTGTCAGATATGAATCTACTTTATCAAACGACAGCTGTTTAAGCTAATCAAATCAGCGTCATATGCAGTGAATAGGAGAAGCCCTAAATCATAATATGTAACTGTAGAGTGGGCCACGTAGGTTTAAAACAGCGACAGACCACACTGACATGCATATAATCAACTTTCGATTGCAAGAATGGGTGAAAGTTTTTCGCCGATATGTTATTTGAAAAATTTTATTGACTGAGGATACTGAGAAGTTACGTGAAACTTGAAGTGTCACTGTGCTTAGTAATGAGGATTTCTTGCGGCATTTAGTGAATACTGTGTAATTATCATTTTTTAAATCTCTGTAACGAATAAGATTTGTATTTGTTTGTAACATCTACTGACTAAGTTTCAAGTGCAAAAGCCGCTCATTACAATATGTTTACTTGTTTCTGCATTTCATTGATTTTATGTCTACTGTAAACACATTTTAAAAATGTTTATTTTAAATGATGTCTTGTGCAAGAAGTAAAAATACTAGGCACGAAAATAATAATTCAAATAATTCTGTGGGCAATGATCATTTTAAGTACACAAGGAATCACAAGATCCGTTACGAACAGAATGTACCGCATCAGTATGCGAGTAATCTCATGCCTGTTAATGCAGGCGAGCAAAAAGATCGTTTTCTTCGGCGTAACATAACCCCTGAATTTCACCTAAAAGTTATCCCAGGAGAGTTAGAATCTGCTATATTACATGATGTAAGTGATTGAAATATGAATTTTATATCATTTTTTTTACAAAGTCTGGACATATTACTTTCACTTTATTTAGAGAAGCAACTCGAATTTTAGATACTGTTTGCAGGAAATTCAAAAGCATTGATAATTTTGTGGAACAAAGTTTTGGACCGAGAATTTCTGTGGAAGAAGCAACCCAAAAGATAACTGAATATATAAAGGAGGCAAACTTGCCAACAAACTTAGAGGTTATTTGGTGTGAAGATTTAATAGGAAGGTGAGCCAGCTTCATTCGATAAATTGTTGTTGTTGTATATTCTAGTGCTCTGATGTGCAGTACTGGTATTGATAAAAATGGAAACATACCGAGGCACAGAAAATTCACAATGCTGCTAAAAACGAATGAAGAAAATACCTACTTACGTGAAAGAGGCATAATGTGCCTGATGGATCATGAACTGGGAACACACTATGTATCCTTTTTTATACTGTTATTATTTCGTTTATTTTGCGTCACATTTTGAAGGGTCAGTTTTAGTTAATTTTGCGTAGACAAAGAAATATTCCTTTTTGGATTTTTTCAAACTATTTTCATAATTACTTAAATGATCTACGTTTTAGTGCAATTCTAATAACTCAGCATAAGTCAAACAGGATTCCCAGGTCACTATTCTAGGTACCATTTATATTTAAATTGAATGTGCTAGAATATTCTACACTCTTATTCAGCCGAATATTAGGAACATATTTAACTTGCTAAAATGCCATAACTTGTACATAATACACAAAATAATTGGGCCAGCAAAGAATATCCTTTTCGATAAGAAGTTCCTCCTCCTCTTCTCGCTCTACAATTATATCTATATATGCATGTTTATATACATAGAATATTCTAGATTAGTAGTCAATAACAATATTAGTGTGCTTTACAAATAATATCGATTTGTAAAGTATGATCAATGCTATTACATTTCATTAAAGATGCTTAAATTACAATAATAATAAAGATATAATAGCGAACAGAATATCAACTAAAATTGGGAAAACTACAGAACAAATTCAGGATCATTCAAACCTAGATGACCAAGGGGGTAATGATAATGTCTGAACCAACCAACTTCTTTTGGATGCACAAATTAGACTTGTTAATATGGATCCCAACAGCCAGCCAGCCAGCCTCAGCAATATTTAGTAGTCGAACTCTTAAGGCGAAATTGAGATTTGTTGTTGGTATGCGGTAAATGACCCTGATAGCCGCCTGGTTAACATCAATCAGTCTTGTGTTCTGTATCCACAAGATGAGATAGAAGTTAGTTCAGGCATTATCATCCTTACCTTGGCCATCTAGGTTTGAATGATCCTGAATTTTTGTGGAATTTTCCTAATTTTAGTTGATATTCTATTCGCTATTATATGTTTATGATTATTATTATAGTTTAAGCATCTTTAATGAACTGTGGTGACTCCATTTTGATCTTACTGTACAAATCGATATTATTTAAAAAGCACACATTAATATTGTTATTGACTACTAATCTAGAATATTCTGTGTATATAAACATGCATATATACATAAAATTGTAGAGCGAGAAGAGGAGGAATTTATCGAAAAGGATATTCTTTGCTGGCTCAATTATATTTTGCGTATTGTAGATAGATGTCTGAATGAACCAAGCGATCCATCTAAGTTTATAAACAAATGATCGCAATAATACCTCTGATTCTTTCATCACATAAAAATAAATGCTTTGCGGACATATTGCTGTCACTTGCACAACTGATCACACAAACACACACAGGAAATAACCAATGTAAGTGCGATCAATAAATGGATAACAGTTACACTAGAATAGTGAAGACATTTATGCTCATTGTAGTTACAATATATGTATTGTAATAATTGAAGTGTCGAAAGTTTTGTGAATTACGTGAAGTGATTATGGTAAGCAAATTCTACTAAGTATACATACGACTTAGCAAACAACATCTATTCGGATTTATCCAAAAAGTTATCATTATTGTTTCCTTTAATTCCTAGAGGAACATACGGCTTCAGCCGCGAACGTCTCCATTGCGTTCGGTTCTATGCTAAAGTTTTCACCTGGCTTCAAGTCTGCCCACACGTTTTCATCTCCTCTTCACATGACCCCTCCAAGTCACCCTCGCACTGACGACCAAGTCGCCACTTCCCCTTAGGGTTCCACTCGAGCAATGGCTTGTCTAGTGATGTCACTTGATGGCTTCTCCAGAGTATGACCAATCCATCTCCATTGCTTCCTGCCTATTTGTTTCACAATCGGTTCCTGGTTGGTTCGTTCATTGCCAGAGATCCCTGTTGATGATCTTTTCTGACCAGCCATCTGATCTTGAGTATTGAGCTGTTGATGAAGGTGTGTAGTTTGTTTGAGATGCTCTTTATGACGCGCTGGCCGAGTCTCTGATCCGCATGGTGAGTAGCACTGACTGACTTCACATTGGAGTTGAAAATCCGAATCTTATTTTTGATGCTAAGTGTTGAACTCCACAGAGACTTGAGAGTAGTGAAAACTTATCTTGCTTTTCCGATTCTTGCTTTGATATCCTCGTCAGTTGCGTCCGCCTGTAGTTGAAACGATGCTTCCCAGGTAGGTGGGTAGGTAAACGAGATTGTTTCTTTCAGGTTTCTCACATTTATGCTGATCGTTGTCTGTTGTTGTTGCCGTTGATGGTGTTGCCCAGGGATCTTCATCACCTCTGTTTTCTCTGTGTTCACCTGAAGTCCTATCTTTGATGCTTCTTCTGCCAACCTGTTGCTTTTCGCTTGCATATCTTCCAGTTTGAAACCATACTGGGATATATTCAGATTCAGATTCAGACTATAAGGATAGAAGTCTCTTGTTGCCTGTGTTAATCCTCGCGATATATAAATCTCTGCAGAGATCCAGTTTCTTTTTGAAGGCGTTTACCGATAGAGCTGTTACTTCACTGAATCAGGTAAGGAGTTCCAGTCGTTGACCACCACTCTGTGAAAGAATCTAAACTCCATACATATTTTATTCGACCTCGGTTTGAGCACCTTCTTCTGGTGACCTCGTAAATGCATCCTAGAGGAAGAGAAAAGGTTTGAAAGGTCAATCCAATCCCTAAATCACCCTGGAATATACGGTATGCCAAAATTTAGTCACCTCTTCTCCTCCTTCAATATGGTAATGGGAAGAGATTTAAATACTCCATCCTTCCTCATATTATAAGGAAGGTGTGAGATACCACTAGCTAATTTCGTTCCTACCCACTGTAGACTTTCCAGGATATGTGCCTCTTTTCTGAAGCATGGACTCGCCGCTTGTATGCAGTACTCTAGATGGGGCCTGATATATGTTGCATAGAGTACTTGGAACATACCCTCGTCTAATCCTTTTGAAAGCCCTTCGAAGTGCCCATAGCCCATTCACAAAGCCTTAGCTACGGCTTGATTACAATTTGCCCCTTTGTTTATGCGTCATGGCTTGCAATAATTCCTAAGTCTTTTTGTCCCTTAACATCTGGCAGTTCTGTGTCCCCCATGGAGTACGACGTGTAAGACTTCTGACCTAGGTGCATTACCGCGCTTTTCTTGGAATTGATTGCCGGACTCCAAAAGTTAACCCATTCGGTTAATTTATCTAGATCTTTTTGTTATACCAACCTATCATCGTTACTATTTACGGTTTTCCGGTTTATTCTTAATATCGTCCGCCTGAAAAAGTGTTTCTAGATATTTGTGACAAGCTGTCGACCAGATTAATTAAGGTGTTAGTCAGCTTATGGGATTCCGAGATAGTTCCACTGATCTTGTAGTAATTAACTAAATTTATTTGCAATTAATAGTGTTCTCTGGGGGGCTGGTTGGTTTAGTTGTGGAGCTTTCGTCGTCCTTTTGGACAACATCCCCCTTCAGCGCCATATTCAGCACAAAGTGAACTGATTTAAATTTCTTCATGAGTGATATAGTTGCGTCTCCTGGTAACCATCTTTACATATGTATTGACCATTTTCTATTGACTTGGATTTTAAACTTTCTGGTCACCTGATTTACTTCTTATTAGTTGGTATATTTGGTATATATCAACATGTTTGTTAATAGCAGATTCACTTGAGTACCAGGCTTCCAGGAATTCCTGACTGCACTCTTGTTGGTGTTTCCTCTGTCTAAAATTTCGGCATTATCCTAGTTTTCAAACTGATGTCCATAATTATGTATATGCATTGATATGAAACAGGAAAATATATCATGTCTTTTTACAGGTGATTTGTGTTCCTGGATTCTGATTCGACACCCTGGGGACGCCCACTTCGACCACCGATGTTAACAAAAATACAGGTTTCTGTGGGTTAGTTTGTTTCTTGCGAAGTTGTAGACGAAATAAACCCTACAGTAGAAATGAACAAGCCCAACACGTTACGCTGAATGTTAGTTAGTTACTTCGACTGATGACGGACGACCAGCAGAGATAATTATAAAAAAATACGGTGGTCATATAGTGAAAAATAATCAGAAAATTAAAAATCATAGAGTAAGTTTGATTGGACACCAGTCAGTCAGTAACTAGTGTGACGTGTCTGGCTAGTCCTTTGTTTTTGGTGCAGACTGAATTCTGTCAGTCAGTCAGTCAGCCAGGTTTGCAATGTGGCCACCATGCCGCTAGGTGGCTAGCTCGGTGCACCATCTCGGTGTACACATTGATTTGATGATGATATTAGATAGTTGGAGGCAATCGGCAGTGGGAACGTCTCTGACTGCAGTACTCGGGTTCGAATCTTAAATTTGTGGGACATGAGCTGTTCCTTCGATGTGGCTGCAGATACGCCTTGCTGACTGACTGACTGACTGGTGAGTGCCAACTAGCAGCATGAAACCTAGGTTCGGGCAGGGCTTCCTCGGCCGCCGATTGCCTCCAACTATCTAATATCATCACACGAAGTATGTGTAGCGTGTTTAACTTGCATTGTGGCCCATCCCCAGCTATCCTCGAGGCTTTTAGCTTCACCTTGAAAGTCCCTTGTGCTAGATAATGGTCTGAACCCACATCTGCTCCTCTCCTCAACCTTGTGTCCAGTAGGCTCCGTCTCCACTTCCTTGAGATTGAAATGAAGTCTATCTGGTTTTTGGTGTGTCCATCTGGTGAAATCCATGTTGCCTTGTGTATATCCCTGTGTTTGAACACACTACCACCAATCACCAAATTATTGAAGGCACAGAAGTTTGAGAAGAGTTCAACATTGTCGTTCATTTCACCGAGGGCCTCGCGACCAATGGTGAGTTCTCTTCCTGTATTGTCCCCTCCCAGCTTCGTATTCATATCACCCATCAGGACGTTGTCCATGACTGCTTGTAGTTGTCTGCAGAACGCCTCCTTCTTCTCTTGTTCTGAGACGTTTGTAGGCGCGTAGCATTGAATGATTGTAACCTTCCTTCCTTTTGAGTTGAACCTGGCTGTCATTATCCTGGAGGAGATTGGTTCCCACTGCATGAGAGCCTTAGCCGCTATTGGTGACATCATGATGG